ATTGTTTAGTACCAGAGTTAAGGAGCACAACACACATACCAGTATTGATGTGTCTTTTTCCCCCCAAATACCTGACCCATGGATACAGTGAATGCCAATCAAATCAGTTTTGCGCTAAAATGTTGTACTTAAAAGCTATTACCGAAAAATAAAAAAATTTTACATACATCTACTCTCTATATATATATTCAATATTTAATGATTAATTATTTTCTATCTAAATAATAGTTTGTATAAAATTTTTAATTTATAAATATCCAAAACATTTTAATATTAATAACTTATAATATGATAGCTTCCGTTAGTAAACATGTTTATCATCTACAGCCACACACACACACACACACACACACACACACATAAAAGGTCACCGGATATGTCCACAAAATATGAGAGGGACACACACTCTATATATATATATATATATATATATATATCTCACACATATATTTTCCCCGGAAAACAACTGCCCTCTCATTGATTGAGTAACATTTAAAAGGCTAAAACTTTTTAAAAATTTATTGAGAAAGAAAGAGAGAGAGAGAGAGAGAGAGAGAGAGCTATCAATTAATTTTATTTCATTTAATATATTATATAAGTAATATGCGTACAAAAAAAACTTAATAAATATTTTATTATAAATTATACATGACATTTATATAACAATGATGATTTATAATAAGTTTATTTGTGAAAATGAAAATGAAGCAAAAATTAAAATTATATTACATAATTAATAAATATCTTAATTTTTATTTTAGTTATTTATTTTATTAGTAATATTGATTTTTGGCTTAAATGTATATTATAGACAGCCAGCAAAAAAGTATTGTTTTATGCAGTTTTATATATATAGTATATAAAATGTTAGTTTTATTACTTAATTATTATTTAGTTACGGTTAGTATGGGATGAGTGTGAGGTTATGAAATGGTTGGGCGGGTGGGGGGTGTGGGGTGGGTTTAGGGCAAATAATTTTCTACTGGCTGTCTATAATATACATTTGTTCCTGATTTTTAAAAAATAAATTTAGTATAACATTTAAATGTTGGTAAAACTGTCGGTCTCTATACTATTTTTCTCTCTCTCTCTCTCTCTCTCTCTCTCTCTCTCTCTCTCTCTCTCTCTCTCTGTTAGTGTTGTGTTATGTTTAACCGTTATGACAGTGATTGAGACCTCTAATATATACACCTTTTTTGGCACAATATTTGAATTTTTTTATTTTGTATTATAAATAAATTGATAACAATTTCAATAAATGAAAATTTTTATTTAAAAAAAATGTTATTATAAATGTTAATTAATTTCAACAATATATAATTTTTTTTAATTAACAATTAAATAAAAAATTTAACCGTTATTTAAAAATTTTATAAAAAAACTAATTATTGCAGACAACTGTTGGACAATAGATAATGGAAACAGAATTGTATCCCGAATTGGATCTGTTGTTCAACTTTGAAAAAAGTGATGTTATATTTGTCATCAATGGTCAGAAAATACCAGCAATTATTGCTCTAATGTCAGCCAAGAGTGTTGTGTTTCGGGCAATGTTTTCAGGAAACTGGAGGGAATCGGACGCAAATCAGATTGAAATCAGAGACACCACTCCCGAGGCATTCAAAGTGATGGTAGGCTTCATATATATGGAGCGATTGATGTTTAGCGAAGACAATGATTTGGTGCACATTCAGGATGTTCTTAAAATCGCCGACAGATATCAATTGAAACGATTGATAACAAGTGTTGGACAATACCTCAAGTCAATGATTTCGATGGACAATATCCAAGAGTTAATCCAATTGGCGAACGCCTATCAGTTAAACGAAGTGATCGGCGATATGAAGAAATTTGTGGACAACAATTTCGACCGATTGATGGCCAAACCAGAAACAGAAAGAGGTGTCATCAATATTGGACTAAATAACTATTTGTTTGACAAGTTGTCTGCTAAATACCGACCAAACAATCAACCAAATCAGTCGAATTGGATAACATTTCGGAATCAATCGGAAAATTATAGTTTCATTATTTAGATGCCAAAGACATGAATGCATTTTTAGTCATACAATCGGAGACTGATCTCACTTTACAACATCTCATTCAATGATCAACAATAAAGTTAATAACAGATTCCCAGTTATTCATTGGAAATATATTTTGACTTAAAATAATATGATTTTAATAACGCAAGAAATTTTCGTCAATGATTTTCAAATAATTATGTAAAAAATATTCAAATTTAAGTACTAGTAGTTATTGTTTTTAAAATATAATACAAAGATTTTATTTTATTTTTGAGTATTAAAATTTTATAATTAGTTTTTAAAAATTAACAAATATATTAAATTAAGTAAAATTCATTAATATTAATAAATGATTAGCAATAAAATTAATAACAAATAGAGTAAATTCCCAGTTATTCATTGGAAATATATTCAGACAATAAAAACCAATCTCTGGTGTCGTTAAGTGTTCAATGAATTGCAATAATTTATATTTACTTTGAAATGGATGTGAATTTTTAGCAATTGCTTCGTAAAGTAAAGCGTATGGTTTGTGAGCGTATGTCGATATCCAAGTGGACAATAAATTTTTCATAAATAATACACTAAATAGAAGTATAAAACTGGATCCAAATATGCACCGGGATAACGATGTCGTATCCTTATGACAAATAAAATATAAAAGTAACTCAAACCCCGGCACTGATATATAATATAATATAAACATAACATATTGATATGTTTGGTTACATTGTTTGATAATTAATGATATTGTTTTGTGTTCATTAATTGCATGATTTAATAGTCGATAATTATTAGTTTTAATAGCTATTACAATGGTATTTGTAATTTCAATTAAAATGTATTTTAAATAACAGCTTATCATAAAAAATAATACCAAACCATTGATGGCCAGTGCAGCTAACTGTTCAATAGCGTAATAATTGGTTATCATACCAATTATTAAACTAATTATATTGAATCCAGAGTCTGGATCCAAATATGCCAAAATCATTGTATAGTTTATGTAACTATTTAGTAGTATAATATTAGTCCAATACGACTGATTTATATAATGATTAACAAAAAATTTCAAATACATTGTAAATCTGTTATAATGTTTTCTATTAAGCATTAGTTGTAATTTATTTTGTTTGTAATCATCGATAAAATATAAAAGATACCATTGATTGGTCCACTCGTGATATTGATAGATGAATCCAATGAGAAACATTACAAGAGTACAGTCACTAAATATTGCGGCTAATATTTTAGGTTTAGTTAATAAGTAATTGGCATCGGCTACCAGTGCTCGGACATGAGGTCGGTTATCAATTGCCGAAACACCATATCGAAGACAAACCAAAAATACCATAAATTTGATAATTATATTATAAATCTGGCGTTTCTTATGCTTTCGATGATTAACATAGTCATCGATAGTCCGATGAATAACAAAATGTTTGTATGAAAATGTTTCCAATTTATTGGAAATATATTGATTAGCCATTAAATTGATAATAATATTTAATATACTAGAAATTATTTTTTGAACAATTTTTAATAATAAATTTCAATTTTCAATAATAAATTAGTGTTTAATATTATTATTTGAATAAAATCCTCTGAAATGCTTTAAATTAATATTAAATGAAAATAATGAAATACTGTACTGTATTTGAAAATTATACAAAAAGTTTTTAACTCAATTTAATGTTATTAAGAACTAATGGCAATATATATATATATATATATATATATATATATATATATATATATATATATATATATATATATATATCAATTTAAATTACAATTTTCTAAACTTTTAAATACAGGTAATTATATTTATTAATTATATTTATAAGTATATAATTTTTTGTTATAAATTATTCATTTAATTTACAATGAAATGAAAATTTTATAGTTTTATTATTATTACATTTTGAAAAATAGAAAATTTATTTATAGTTTCTTAATTAATGATATTGACATTAAAATCTAATTTGTTTTTTGATTTATGTATTAATTGAACAAAATATAATTTTATATCTTTATATTATAATTACTTATATACAAACGTTTACTTATGTTATTTATGATCAATGATTTTTGCAAAAATATAAATTATAATCTTATATATAAATTGATTTTTGAAATTTTCTATATAATAGAATATATTATATATTTTATCTAATTATTCATAAATTAAATAGTTTTTTTTCATGTGATAATGTGATTAGCACTTAAATTAGTACAACTAAACTGAAATAGTTTTAATAATCGATAATTAATTATAAATTTAATTTTAATTATAAATATCAGTAAATTTATATAAATAATAATAATCTAAAATACTTTATATATTTATCTGCATATAAAATCGGAAACAAATTTAAATTTAGCTAAGTCAAACTCAATTTAAGTACATATATGCAGTTTATTGTATATACCTAATAGATAATATAATGTTTATAAATTTATATACAATATATAACTAATAATAAATTCAATATTACATAAACCGATAATACTATTATATTTATGTTAATGAAAATTACAATTTTAAAAATTACTATTATGAATATTAATTTATGAATAATTGTAAAATTTTAGTAACAAAAAAAATCAATAATAATTTATCAATTAAGCGAACATAAAAATCTTAGAAAATATTATTTATTAATTAAACTATTTTTTTGGTATAATTTTAATCAATTATTTTTTTAATCTCTAACTATTAATACTGTATATTCAATGTTAATTAACTTCAACAATATATAAACTTTTTTTTTTAAAAATAACAATTAAATAAAAAATTTAACCGTTATTTAAAAATTTTATTAAAAACTTATTATTACAGACATCTGTTGGACAATAGAAAATGGAAACAGAATTGTATCCCGAATTGGATCTGTTGTTCAACTTTGAAAAAAGTGATGTTATATTTGTCATCAATGGTCAACAAATACCAGCAATTATTGCTCTAATGTCAGCCAAGAGTGTTGTGTTTCGGGAAATGTTTTCAGGAAACTGGAGGGAATCGGACGCAAATCACATTGAAATCAGAGACACCACTCCCGAGGCATTCAAAGTGATGGTTGCCTTCATATATATGGAGAGATTGATGTTCAGCGAAGACAACGATTTGGTGCACATTCAGGATGTGCTTAAAGTCGCCGATAGATATCAATTGAAACGATTGATAACAAGTGTTGGACAACACCTCAAGTCAGTGATTTCGATGGACAATATCCAAGAGGTAATCCAATTGGCGAACGACTATCAGTTAGACGAAGTGATCGGCGATATCAAGAAATTTGTTGACAACAATTTCGACCGATTGATGGCCAAACCAGAAACAGAAAGAGGTGTCATCAATATTGGACTAAATAACTATTTGTTTGACAAGTTGTCTGCTAAATACCGACCAAACAATGAGCCAAACAATCGTCTAAATCAGTTGTATCATCTATTATCGTTTGACTGTTTAGATGCCGAAGACATCAATGCATTTTTAGCCATACAATCGGACTTATCTCACTTTACAGCATCACATTCAACATCACATGATTAACCTTAATAAATGATTTACAATAAAGTTAATAACAAATTCCCAATTTATTTATAGAATTTTAAATATTTGTTTTAATTTAATTAAAATTAATTAATAATAAAATGAGTTGCTTAGGGTTTAATAAGTGGTAGTATAATACCTATAGATTTCATGGGAATTATCAGCAAACTGGGAAAATTATGAACTTTTATGAATATAAAACGACAACAAAATTATGATTTAAATGTTATAATTATTCAATAAATCTATAAAAAACTAAAACCTGTATATATTTTTTATGTTTAATGATTTCTTTATTAACTAAAAATTAATTATATAAATTTATGATTTTAATAAGTAATAAATAATAATATTAATTGACATTAATTATTATTATTCTAATCTAATTTGTTTAATATCAAAATGTTTCCAATTTATCGAAGATATATTGATTAGCCATTAAATTGATAATATTATTGTATTTAAAAATTATTATTTTTATGAGTTATCCAATCAAAAATTATATTTTTGAAATAATATTAATTTAAAATAATATATTTAGAATAAAATTTATATTACGTTATTAGAGTATTATAACTAATAATACAATAATTTTTTAATTAAATTTTCTAAACTATTTTAATGTTATATTTATTAGTCTTATTATAAATAAATAATTTTTGTTATAAACAATTCATTTAATATATAATCTAATTCAAAATTTATAATTTTATTACAGTATTTTTTACATTTTTAAAATAGTAAATGTAGTCTTAATTAATGATATAGATAATAAAATAAAATTTATTTATGATTAATGAATTGTTTTTAAAAATTTCTAATTTAATACCTTTATATTATATTTAATTAAATAGATACGTTTTCATATAAATTCAATTATTTATGTTTTCACGAATAAAATTAAGGTAAATATATTTAAATATTAATTACCGGTTGTAGTATCAAATTTTGAAACATTTGCTATATAAACAACAATTACTGTAAATATAGTTTTTATTTGGTTAGCGTCCATGTATTATGTTTTTAAAAAATTTAATAAAATCAAATGTCCAGTATTTTTGAGATAGATTTTATATAAAATTTTTAAAATTGTTATCATAGTTTTATTTAGTAAATTGATAAGTTTATCAACTATTTACTTAAATAATTATAATAATTTATCCAATTCTAAATACAGTAGTAATTTCTATATTTTTATAAATAATAATAACAACAATAATATTGTATAGTAAATAATAAATAAATTTATATTACCGGTAAAATATTAAGTATAGTACCAGTAATGCAAATTTTATTGTATGTTAAATTAAATTTTATATTGTAATCGATTTTTATTTAGATATTGAATATTTTTGTAAATTTAATTTATAATTTGTATAAATGATTAAAATACTGTGTGACACAAATGTTTAAAATTTATAAAAACATTACTTTAATCATTAAATATACGGTAAGTATAACTATTTTTTTTTGTTAATTCAAAACGATTTTGTTTTTGTGATTTTAGTTCGCAAATCATTTTTGTCATACAAGACATTCTTTGTTTGTTGTTTGTTGACCACAGATATTGTCGACCGCATCGGTCTATCCTTCCAAATGGTTCTCGAATTGGTTCTGTTGTCGACTGATATTTGCAACACTGCGTCGTCGTCGTCATTGTTCTTAATGTCTTCATTGACGACATCATTGACTGATCCCAAGCCTAGTCGTTCCCAAATAGACTTTCTTTCTTGTTGTTGTTGATGAACATCATTATCACGATTAATATTAAATCTCTTGTTCTTAAGTGACAGTCTGTTCCTAACGGACTGCTGTTCCTCTTCATCGGCTCTCATCCGAAGCCGCAGACGTTTGGATTTCATTTCAAACTCGGAATCTAATTCTTCTACTATTTCTTCAGTATCTTCTCCTTCTTCTACTTCTGCTTCTTGATGTCTAATAAATCGTCGTTTTTTCGCATTTGTAGCCACTTTGATATCATCACTCAGTGGTAAACCATATTTAACATAATATTCACTTATACCGCGAGATCCGCGAACCTTTCTATCAGAATTGGTGGCAAATCTCAATAAAAGTGCCTTAGAGTTAGAATGAGTTACACCTAATCGCCATCGATGTCCAGGAGGTACGGGAACTGATAGCGACTTTGCATCAATAACTTCAATACCAATATCATAGTCTAAGACTTCGCCGCTGGTCTTCAATATCAACGATGTGGTCAACGTTGTCATCGCAATGGCAGCTGCTTTACGGTCGCCAAAGAGTATATTACACGACAAATCATTAACCCATTCAATAGAATTGGGATCAAAGTCGTCGAAATATTTGAGTACATCCTCGGAACTCATGTCTTGTACACCACGAATATGAATGACATCCAAACGCCAATTCGTATACTTTTTGGTCACTTCGTCGAAATTGATGTCAAACGACTGATACAGCGAATAGAGTTCTTCGTCGCTAATCTGCCGGTCATTTGTGGCCGCATTTTCTGTTGTTGTTGTTGTCATAGTCTTATAGACAATCTTGGTTTGTGTGCTATTATTGTCGTCATTATCGTAATCAGCCATCAGTTCGTCGTCGTCCAGCGAGTTGGCCCAATCAATGTGTTCGGTCACCACTAATGCTTCCGAGGACGTCATGTCTGTTTCTTCGGCGAAGATGTTGTCGTCAATCAACTCTTTTTTTAAGACACAATATATGTTTTGTCGGCCGAAATCCCAATTTTGCAGACGAAGAAAAAACTTGACATCAAATACCAATCAGATATATCTTATAGTTATTGTGTGGACAACCAAATCAATTGTCTTTCCAAGTCTTCAATTGGTGTAGTAATCACTTCCACTGATTGTCACTTTGATTATCAATTTGTTAGTTTCTGTCTGTTTTTAAAGTGATTTAATTAAATAAATAATAATAAAAACCTAATACTTATGTATTACTGAATAGTATTGTAAGCTATTGTTTGATTGGAGACCACAAGTGGCGCCAGTTTTGTGTTAAAATAAAAACATAACAAAAATATTATTATTAAAAATCATTTAAATTATTTAATATTTCTAATTACAGTTAATTATTTATTTTTAAAAAAAATATTTATTTCTAATAATTATTTTATTGATAAATAAAACTAACATTAACTTATAAATACAGTAAATACAATAGTAGTATGCAATGCAATAAAATTATTATAATAATTATAAAACAAATATCTCCAATAATTTTATGGTTTATAAAACTATTAATTTTCAATAGTGAGAGTAAATTATTTATATATACAAATCATTTTGTTTCAATGATTTCAAATTAAAAAAATTACGGTAATTAAAAAAAATCAAATTATTTGGTTTGAAGTGCAATTCGTCGACAGGCATACAAAATATCAACTGATTTCTGATTATTATTGTCGGCATTTGATTCCCAAATACAACCGATAACTACTGGATTCAATGTTCTCGAAAAAGATCGGTTGCGTTCAGCCATCAGCACCTGTTCCTTAAGCAATGGACGCGATTTACTATCTTTCGTGTCACTCATTTCGACATCTTCGCCGCCGCCGACGCCACCAATCACTCCTCCATTAACTTGTTCTTCATTTTCGTCGTTTTCATCTTCAGATAGATAGCCGTGCGGTACAAAAAATTCGTTATCAATTTCATAGTCATCTTTGACCGATCCTTCCGAATCGGAACCGTTGAGCGACTCTCCCGGTCCTCCTTCATCCCATTCTTCATCACTTTCCAGTTCGTAATCAAACAAATCGATGTCTTTAGTAAATGGATTTCTTGGTTTAATGACACTACTTTTCTTGCTATAGGTTCCCCTATAGGGTGGCCTAACATTCGAGTGAAACTGTAAGTGCTTAACACGATATCTCTTGGATTCGTTATCATCATCGTTGCCATCACTGTTGTTGTTAACACTGCTCTCAATGATAATTTCTGGTTCGATCTTTTCGCGTCGATTACATCGAAATGGTTTATAGGTATCACTCTTCAAGTTATTGAAATATAAATTATTTGTTTCCTGACTTTTCATCCACTGGTCTAACGCCTGTTGATTGAACCGATTTTTGGCGAACTCCGAGACTACTGGTGCTAGAGTTTGATTGGCGCCCAAATGAAAGGGAAGAAATCGACCGCAATATATAACTTCGATTTCCTCTTTATTTAGAGAAGTATTTGCAGACTTTGGAGTTTTAGAGAAAAAATTTGATAACAATTGTCGCTGTTTTTCAGTTTTCTTCAGCTCCTCTTCAGATGCTTTTTGCTTTTCTCTGTAAATTACAAATAAAAAAATAAAATAAAATTACAGCAAATTTGCCACAAAAATAAAACAATTGCCAAAAAACCGTACTCTTGTTTCTTCTGTTTTTCCAATTCTTTCTCTTTTATCTTTTCCTCCTTTTCTTTGAGTTTATCTTCTTTTTCCTTTAATTTCTGTTGTTTTTCCACTTCTTTTTCTTCTTTAATCTTTTGTTTTTCTAATTCTTGCTGTTCTTTGATTCGTTGTTTTTCCGCCTCTTTTTCCTCTTTAATCCGTTGTCTTTCTGCGTCCTTCTCTTGTCGTTCTTTATCCTTCTTTTCCTTTTCCAAATCCAACTTCTGTTGTTTCTCTTGTCTTTGTTTTTCCAAAAGATCCCGTCTTTCTTGAGCTCTCTTTTCTTTCTCCAATAATTTCGCTTTAAGTCTCTCCTGTTTCTCTGATTCTCTCTTTTCTAGCCATCGTTTCTTCTCCAACGGTGTCATCTTCTTGCGCTTCTTTGCTCTCTTCACTGCGCTATTTGTAAGACTATTACCACCGCTACTCTTCTCTTGATTATCGCTGCCAACACTGGTATTACTGACAAGACTATCATTGAGACTGCTATTCATATTATCCATGTCTTCGTCATCATCGTTGTCGTCATCGTCGTCGCCATCATTATCTTCTATACTGTTATTCATGTTTTCATTGTCGTCATCGTTATCTTCGGCAACACTTTTCATACTTTGATTCAATTGAGATGAGCTGTGACTGGCGTTCAGTTCATTTGCATCGTCGTCGGACACATCCATAACTTGTTGGTCGTCCTCTTTGTCCATAATTATTGAGATTTAATCAACTGTTTTGCGGTACAAATAAACAATAGTTTGTCTGAAAAATAATAATAAAAACTAAAAGTTTTCTTTTATTTGTCGTCTGATTTGCGCCAAAATAAATGTATGTAAAGTATATAACAATTCAGTCATACATTACGTTTGATTTTATGTGTAAAAACCAATAAAATTAATTATTTTTTATACCTAAATATAATATATTATATAAAATATTTGTATTAATCTGTATTTATAGATTAAATTTCATTTTTATTATTAATTAATAATCAATTGACTAATTAATTAAGTTATTTAAACAGTAAAATTAATTAATTAATTAATTATTGGTTAATAACATGACGATTTGGTACTATTTTAGTAAAATTTTATGTATAGCGTTACTAATGCTAAATAGTGCCTAAATTACAGTACAGTATAGTTATAAAGCGATTACTTTATGAACAGTAATTATTTAATAAAGTAATACATTTCAATAGCAATGATAAAGCATTTACAGCACACATATAATACACAGTGTGTTCATTGACTCCACGTGTTTGTGACTATGAGGTAAGCGATTGATTTGATCCCAATTTAAATGATATTTAATTAAAATAATTTGAGATGTTTTCAAATATATTGATTAGTCAATCGCATGAATGGTATTAATAAGTTAATAACAACAATCATTTGGATGACCAGATGATGGAACCATTTATAAGTGATGGTTACCACTGATGATGGACTGGTGTGTGGTATTGGGATACGAGTCGTGGATTTTGGTGTCGTTGGTCGCCATTTGATATGTCTTTGAAGGTAATTGTGTTGAAGATAACTGGATATCAGGAAGTGATATCTTGTTTGTATTTTTCCCTTAAAAACCTCTATTCTTGACACCCATTGATGTCTTTGTGATCATTGTGTGAATGCTTTTCAGAGGTATATTAAAACCAAATTTTGTTGACTTATGCCTTCGGTGCCAATAAATTATCAATTATTGTGATGCCATCCTCGAGAGTCAATACAATTGATTATTATTTTTTGTGATGAAATGAGATAATGTCTTCTAATATTGTTTAATAACTGATTTTTTGTCGTTGGTTTTGTTTTCAGATAAAATGATATCCCTATAGACTCGTTGGAAACAATGGTTATCTGTTATCACCAACAGGTACTTCAAGTGTTTAAACAACAGTGGATAACATCAGTCATTTTGATGACCAGATGATGGAATGGTGAATGGTATTGGGATACAAGTCGTGGATTTTGTTGTCGTTGGACGCCATTTGAAGTCTTTGAAGGTAATTAGATATCTGAATATCCTGAAGTGATATCTTGTAGTGTTTATCCTTAAAAACCTCTATTCTTGACACCCATTGATGTCTTTGTGATCATTGTGTGAATGCTTTTAAGAGGTATATTAAAACCAAATTTTGTTGACTTATGCCTTCGGTGCCAATAAATTACCAATTATTGTGATGCCATCCTCGAGAGTCAATACAATTGATTATTATTTTGTTAATTCAATACATTGTGTTAAATGAGATAATGTCTTCAAGTATTGTTTAATAACTGATTTTTTTGTTGGTTTTGTTTTCAGATAAAATGATAGCCCGATAGACTCGGAAACAATGGTTATACGTCATGACCAACAGGTACTTCAAGTGTTTTAAACACTTTGTTCAACACTTTCAAAGATAAGCCAAGATATATCCTATGTTGTATACCATCCTCGAGAGTCAATATAAGTGTTGATCTGTATTATTATTATATATATTTATATTACCTGTACTTATACTAAAATAACACTTTTAAACATAAGTATTAGATTATTAAATTAATTTTGTAATAATTATATGATTTTCGGGTGTAATACCAGATGATAAACAAATTTGTTTTTATAAACAATGTAACGTCTATTGGAATTAAACTACAATAATGTTTAAAATAATTAATTTAATTAATAAAATGTATATTTAATAAAAAATGATAAATGTTTTTTAATTTAAATAAATTTATTAGAAAATATTTTCTTAATTTGTTTTTAATATTAAATTATTTATTAAGTATTGTATTGTCTATTAATAAAACATATATTAGTCGTACTGTTTGTTTGAATACATGATTGTTATTTGATATTAATAGTCACGTGATGTAAATGTTTATAAAATAAACTTAATTTAAGTATTTTATTACGAATTTGGTTTCAATTGTATTGTTTTAAATCACTAAATATTGTTGTCATTTATAATTGGATTAATTCAATGAATATTTGTATCATTCAATCAAACAATTAGTTAATATTTTAGACAAACAATACATATATTTGTTTACAAATTGTGCGACACTTTTGTTGTGTTGATATCACATAACAGTTGATCACTGATTGAGTTGTTATTGTCACCCGATTATCATCTGAGGTAAGACAATGGTCTTGATTTGTAAAACATTTGTAACAATCTATTACTTAATATATCAGTTGATATCACACATCCATTGGTTACAAGAGTATCGGCTTTTCTGTACGTTTACTCAACACAACACACGAACTGAAGATATAATTGACATCAAAACAAACTGAAGAATTGTTGACTGATTTATACAATACTTTGTCTGACTGTCCGTTTTTATGGCCAAACGATGGCATTCCTGAGGAATGCGTTGTTTCGCAATCTGTTTCTTCAGAACAACAAATGTATGTCATTTGTGCCCAAATATGTCGACAAACGAACACTGACTGAACATTTCGGACGATTTCTCGAAAGTGATAACAAATTGAGACCCGAATTGCGGACATATGACTACAAGACATTCATCGATGATATGTATTACACATTTAATATTTACGGAACTGGTATGTAGTGGTCATTGTTGTTGTGATGACTATTGAACTAACAATTGTTTGTATATATAGATGAAGACGAGTGGTTTCGTCTCCAACTAATGGACACCAAATACGTTAGCGAAGAGGACTACAAACTACACAATTTTGTCAAACATGACATACGTTTTGACAGTACAGGTGTGTGTGTGTGTGTGTGTGTGTGTGTGTGTGTGTGTGTGTGTGTGTGTGTGTGTGTGTGTGTGTGTGTGTGTGTGTGTGTGTGTGTGTGTGTGTGTGTGTTAGAACTGTCAGTGTTGTTAGCAAACATAGTTGGTGTCTATCTGTATACTGTTATAGTGATTGATTGAAAAATGAGATTCAGTTTAATACAATTGTATGTCGACCTCAAAGGTAACCTAATACGAGTTACAAGACATTCACAACTTTTTGTTTAAACCATATTTAAAGCAATTGTTTTACAAATTAAGTGATAGTGAGTTGTGTTTTGTGTCTAAATGTATATTCAACTGACAAGACTCTATAGATTGTCGCAATTATTTAAACTAATTGTGTGTTTATGTTTGTAATTTTTAAAAATATAGATTTAAATCTAAATTTATGTTAAAATTTAATATTTTCTGTTTTAACTAATCAGATACTAAAGGAAAGCATTCGTTTGAATCGATTCTTATAAATGGATTGAAATATACTGATCGACAAACGGGTAGTTTAAGTGATTGCACTCATAAAGGATTACAAAAAGTTGTCAAAAGACTTAATAGACTATTGATTAAAGACAAACGATTTGTGAAGAAAGCGGAAGAATCCAAGAAATATGAAAACTTAGTCCAAGATCTTGTTATGGAATTGTTTGATAATAGACAGACGCCATTCATTTATGATCCGTTTGATATGTTTATGAAGCCATCGCTATATTATGAAGAAAAAGGTCAAACAAAGTCATCATTTCCCGATCGAGTGGTCAAACAAAATGATTTGTTTAAAATGGTCATCGAATGTAAAACTGGATGGACATCGCTATTGGCAGACAAACGTCAAGTAAATGATATATATATTTATAACGTTTAGTATTTATAAACATTTAGTTAACATTTGATATTGTTGTTTGACTTATAGACACATATGAAGACAATGGTTGCGGCCGCTAATAATGCAAAACTAATTAAAGCCGATCACCGAATGTTTTCATTATTACTGAGAAGTACTCGGTTTTACTTTTCTTTTTATGAATTTCCGATCAAATATTTCCAAGACTTGACAACTAAGAGACCAACAGTTGCCATAAAATATGTTGATATTGACAACAACGGCATTGGATATGATTTTGTTGATCCCATTGATAGACAACATATTGTTGATATACTTGAGCGCATCGCAGGCTATAGTGACCAACATTTTTGTTGTTAACATTTATTATTATAAAGTAGTTTATAATTACCGTAAGATATTTTTATGGCTAAAATTGTCGATATATATTATATTATTTAATCAATAGTCAAAAATACGTTATTAGAGTCAATTAGTTATAAAATTATTATAAGTACGGTATATATTTTTTTAAAAATTTTGTTGAAAATCAATAGATAATGATTTTGAATTTCCACTATATTTAACCAAAAGTTATTTTTTAGATATTAAAAAACAAAACTTTATGTTATAATTATATTATTGGGTCACTCGTGAAAAAAATGTATATATTATAAAAATAATGTGTAAAATATTGTAAATATTTTATTAATAACTGATAAAAAAATTATCGAAACCATAAATAATTGATTTGATAATAAAAACATTTCTTAAGACTAAATATCTGCAAAATGTTTTTATTGTAGACTATTTTAATAATAATAATAATTATTTGTTAATAAAATAAATGATTAATTAATGAAATATTTATTATTTAGTATTGTTTTTTTTGTGTTATGAAAGCTAATGTGTGATATTGATCATGAAATTTGATTAATAAACAAAAATTTAATGAAATACATTATATTAATACTTATAGTTGTTATAACATATATTTGTGGTTTAACTTTATTAACAACAACTACAATATAACTAAAAAAATCAATGTATTTCCTTAAGGCTAATGTTATAGCCTATTAGGTATACCCCTAAAAGCATAGTAGGATTTGAGACAAGAGACCGATATACGAGTGCTTATAATGAGATGTTATGTGATATAACCATTGAAGTCATTTAAATGAGATTTCATATAATATATATAATAGTTTAATATTTTGTTTTAAAAAACCTCAACTATTTATTATATTTGCAGTAAAAATATTTACATTTGATGTACATATTTGTTGTCCGAAACACAAAAATATTATATATAAATGTTATAATATTTTATTACTTAGCAATTTAGTTGTCAAACAATTGTTGATTTACGGAAAATATTTGTCTTAATAAATGACTTGTGAGCTAATAATATTGAAATTTATATATAATATATTATTGATACCTATTATTGTTTTCACACTGTTGTCTACACACAGCTGTAAAAATTTACGGCTTTGACGGCTTATAAGTGTTAAAAACGCAAAACATATATATTATAACCAAATAATTGCACCAAAAATTAGAGGATCGCACTGTTATTTAGTTTGTATTTTTTAAGTAATTTTTTTTGTGTTTCGGTAAATAGTTAACACCAGAAAACCCCATATTAACTATGTGTTTGTGTATATATATATATATATACTGTATATCTATTGAGAGGTTAATGGTTTGAGGTTATGCAAAATGGTTGGTGTCATTGGTTTCGTTAATTTACAACAAAAAAAATAAATAATAATAATAATCATATATTTTAGTGATAAGTTATTTAAGAGCTTAGACCTAAACGTCCGACAGAGAGAGAGAGAGAGAGAGAGAGAGAGAGAGAGAGAGAGAGAGAGAGCGAGAGAGACCTAATAATTAATTAAAGTTTTTCTTTACAATATTTATACAATTATTTTAATAGATATAATAAAAATTTTAACTTTTTGTATATTTTATTTTAAATTGACATATTTTTAATAATTGTATAATATTATTAATCTAATATTTTAAAATTAAATATTCTTATTAAACTTTTTACTATAGTATATTTATAAGTTAATATTTTTTAAAAAAAAAAGTTTTTAATTAAACTATATCTACATAAGTAACAAAAAATTAAAACAGATTATATCTGATAAGGATATATTGATATATAAATTGTTTGTGTAGTTATATACAGTTATATACTCTAATAATATATTTGTATTATTAATATTGTTATTCACCAGAAATTTTGTTTATTACAAGTTTTTTTCACAATACCAAAAAATGGGTGCTTATAACTTAAAATAAGACCGTTATATAATAATAATAATACTAATAATAAGTTAGTTATCAATAGACTGTCGTTTACAATATTATGAATAATTTTTAGATAAAAAAATACTGTATATAAATATAAGGAAATTGTTTAACTAAAACAAAGTCATAACAAAATTATCTGGACGTGGCTTAAGCCCCCGTCCGAGCAATTAAATAGCATTTACTTTGCATAATATTGTGATAATTTTGCATTTCATTGCATAATATTTAAGTAACAAAAAAAGTATAGACAAATTTAAATATTACTATATTATTGTTACAGTATTATTATTATTAGTAGTAATATAATATTATGTAACTACTAGCTATTTGAGTCCCAAAAAATATCACTGAGTTTTTTTTAGTTTTCAGTTTAAAAATTGTTGCTTTTATTCAATAACAATACTACTTTATATATAACTACGTGGGGTTATGATTTAAAAAAATAAAATTTGCCTAAAATATTAACTTTTTTAAATAAAAAAATGATAATCTATTGCCTAAAACTCTGTGATTATCTTTAATTTTTGTGGTAAACCAGTCATTGACTACTATTTTCAGTTTTATCTTCACCCCAAAAAACTATGATTAAAGGGTTTCCATAATTATTGCAAATTAAATGCACTTTTAAAACAATATTCTATAGTTTATATGTATATATAATTTTTAAAAATAATATATAGTTTAGTTAGTAGTAGCAGTTATTATACAATTATTATATAGATTAGTAAATAGATTTCAGTAGTATTTAGATATTATGTATGATAATGTCTACTTGGTAATAAAAAAATTGGTTAAAATTTTCTAGGTATTTATAAAATTACCAATTATTACTATCAATTGTTTTATGTATTGGTTGTATAGATAATATTGATAAGTTTTATTTGAAATGACATAATTTTATTATTTATATATATATAGCTAACTAATAGCAAAAACATTGGTCGCGTGTGCGACACGAGAGTAAATCCAATTAAATATACAGTATATAAGAGACACAATAGCAGATTAATTGTCTTAAAATGTTTTTTAATTTTGAAAGAAACTAAAATAAGAGATGTTTTGCCGATATTTATATCAAAAGTTATTAGCGCACAGATAGAGACAGTGGATGGCATCATAACAAAGCGCTTATGCCTCGGGATGTTAGCAAATATGCAATTATATTAGAATAGTCAGTCGTCGGGTCCGAACATTTCGATGGGGGAGACCCTTAGGTTAGGTCTGAGCCAGCGATAGCTAAACGAAAAAATTAGAAATATTTTTATTATAAGTCAATCATTGATTAAAGTCTAACATATTTTTTCTAATGTCTATTACACACATTACTTATTTGGTGTTTATATCAATAAATTGTTTTTAATTCATGTAATAATTCATTTAACTATCTATTTTGCCGACTCAGTTGATATGGAGGTCTTGGAAAACTTAGATATTTCCAAGAGAGAGAAAGAGAGAGAGAGAGAGAGAGAGAGAGAGAGAGAGAGATGATATTTTTATGGCTAAAATTGTCGATATATATTATATTATATAATCGATAGTCAAAAATACGTTATTAGAGTCAATTATCTCTCTCTATGAGCTCTACCCCTCATACATGATATATAAGATGATGTTTAAAACACAAACTTTTTTGTGGACATATATTTTGTTGGCTTAAAACAACAATTAAATGTTATTTTTTGTGTTGTTATTGTTGTTGATGAGTGTCTTAAGTGAAAATTATGTTTTCAACCTCTTGTCTCGTGTATGATAACATAATTTGATGTTTCAGTTTATAAATATATTGTATAGTATTTTTGTGTCAAAAAAACATAAAAAACCATTAGATGACTGCCAAACAGCTATTATGTAATATAATATTTGTTTATAAATATCTATATATATATATACAGTATATTGTAATGTCTAGTGTTATGTGTTGGAGGAGAGACCCTCCACTGAGAATCCTTATATCAACGATTGTTTGCATACATTATTATTATTATTATTAATTTAAATATAAGATATAATATACTAATAATTTCACTTCAATAATTACTTTTCAATAGTTTTAAATGGGATTTTAATATTCAAATTTAGTTTAACAATAATTGCTAATAATTTAGAGACAAAATAAAATAAAACTCTCCTACGATTTCCTATCATATTTTTCTATCAACTATTACAGTATTTTAAATATATATATAATAGAAACAAATATAATATATTTTAAATGACTATATTTTTAAAAATGAATATTTTAAATAATATATTATAAATAAAGTCATGTTTTTTGTTGTTGTATTAATTGATGATTTTTTAGTTGAATTCTCTAAATAACTTTCTAATTATATCAGATCCTTATTGTTTAAACAAAAAATATTTGCATAAAAATTATATGTATTATTTAAAATATCTACGATATCCTTAATATAATATTTATGTTAAGGCTATAATATCATAGTTTATGTTGAAAAATATTGAAGTAAAAAATAAAATAATTACAAAATTTACAAATAACTTAACAAACTAACAAACAAGTCAAATATTTTATAAGCATTTTAATATATATATATATATATATATGAGTTTTTTTTAGTATCGTATTGGTGTTTATATTAAATAAATAGTTTTATTATATTAAATAATTTTAATAATAATACTAAATAATTTGTCAAATAACAATATAATGTATTATTATATTTTGTTTTTATTTAGTAGACACTATCAAAATTATATATACTGTACATATCAACTAAATTTGAATAAAATGTCAATTCAGTATTATTATTATTATTACTGAAATTTAATGGTATTTTTATTAATACATTAAATTTTATGCTTGAATTTATGATAATTAATCGATTGTCCAAAAAAAACAAAATAAAAGATGATGAATTACATTTTAATAAAGTTTTTATGTAAATTATTATTTTTATACTAATAATGTATTTTAAGCTACGAAACAAAAATTAGAATTTATTTTAATATTGACCCCAATTTGTTGGCAACAATATCACAATAAGAGTATTTAAAAAATTGTTTTTACTATTGATTTGGCGTATAATTTGTCATTTAAATACATGATTTAAATAAATATACAGTAAATTTGTACAATAAATGACATGTTTTATATTAATATATATATATATTTATCTAATTTG